CATACCGATCCGCAAGACTCTACTAGACATTGCTCTTGTACTCTTGAGACCGATGAACCTAGGGCGTTGATATCAAATTTGTCACGACCCAAAATCACGAGTCGTGATGGCACCTATGTTCCCAACCAATAGGTAAGCCAACCAACATATTTTAACAAACTTAACTAACTAATAAGTGAAAAGACAACAAATTGCAAAATCTCCAACACTGAGTTCTTTATAAGTACGAATGCGGAAAACTGAAAAAAATACTACCCAAGAATCGGTGTCATAAGTATAAGAGCTTCTAAAATACGATGCAAGTCTGAAACTAAAATGACAAATCTAACATAAGGGATATCCTGTCTGAATACTGAATAACAGAATACGTAAAAGATAGAGGGAGGTATGGGCCACGAAACAGCCAAGTTGCTCACCACAACTCCAAGACACTCCAAACTCAGACTCAAACTGCCCCTCGAGATGTGCTCCTACTCGGAATCGAATCTGCACCACAAAGAGTGCAACAAGTGTAGTATGAGTACGAAACCACGTGTACTCAGTATGTATCATTGACCGACAACGAAGAAGTAGTGACGGGAGTTTAAAAAAATTCTTAAATTATATAAGTATATATGTATTACACTCGCTATTTAAGTTTCATCAATAAAGGTAGTCAAGCATCAAGTACTTTCCAAACACCAAACAAAACACTTAATCATAAAAAAATAAATGATGTGATGAAATGCAATGCAATATGATACCATGTAATGAATCGTCTCAGAATACCAGTACTCACTCAACCGTTTATACATAATACTCCTCGGAAGTACATCGAGAGCTCATGACCCATGGGGGACTCGCGAGGTCCATATACCGACACGGACGATCTCCACATGTCTGTGCGGACGATCTCAACGCACTATCATAATATCAAACAATTTTTGCACGGACGGTCTCCACGCGCCCAAATTAAAATCTTAACATCTCACCATCCCCAGCACGGACGATCTCCACGTGCCCAACTTATACTCAATCTCATGTCAATGCATGTACATAATATCATTTCGATAAAGGGGATGATGATGCACCCGAATCAGTCAGATATCGACATATTACATAACCACCTCGATTATCACAACTATACAGGTGTAATAAAGAAAACACAATCACACAAGGATTTCAAGTCAATAATATATCACCTAATGCCCATATGCTTGGCATTCTCAAATTACAATCCACATTCTATAGTAGAAATTTTCTGTTTTATAACACCGGTAATCGTACCAATGTCCGCCACACCATTGATACGAGACCCCCATCTTTCGCCCTTACCCTTTTGTCTATTTTTATTTTTTATCTCTAATTAGGAAAACGTCCTTCAACAAGTCTAAAAGTCTTAACATACCTTAAGAGCCGAACCTCGTGCCATGAATCTTCAAGATAGTTCCTTCTCTTTTCGCAAAGTTTCGGAACGTTTCCAATCTACCAATTATGCAATATTCATAAGTAAGAAAATTTTTGTAGACATTCAAATTATTATATGTCTATCATAGACGCTAAACCCACTCATATTTCCAACCAAACTCCCAATCTTGATATATATTGGTATGCCAAATTTTTCATACTTGCTAAATTTCAAGCCAAGAACTTAACTTTAACATCTCCCAATACCCTTGAATTCAATGTTAAATTATATAATATACACCTAATATTTAATTACCAATCTCAATATATCAAACTAATATCTTAATTTTATATATGTATAAAATAAGAATCAACAAACCACTGCTCCAATGTGACCTTCTTCTTCTTTTTTTCTTCCTAAACGTCAATTATGCCTGCAACATGCCAATTCCTTTTTTTCAATGCATTCTCTAAATTGCAAATCATTGGCATGACTGCCCAATGATTGGCTTGAGATTCCATTCCCCTCCCCACCATTTTGATATCAAAAAAATATAATTATAGACCAACGACCCCTTTTTTTTCTTCAAATTCTGCAACTACGACTGTATATAAATTTCAACTTTAAAAATATTCCTATATATGACAATCATTAGGAATTCTTAATAACTAAACATCCATTCAATTCAATCTAATAATTTTACTAAAGTTATATCTCTTTTAATAACAAGTTACGACAAATAATACGATATCAACAGATTCTTCACGCCAACAATTTTTACCACTAATGCATGCTTATGCAGAATATAGATCGGTTAAGGAAAAACTTTTACCTTCAATATTTTACTTCGTTCCTCTTTGTTCTGTAATCTACTCTGCCCAAAAAAATCAGTTTCTACCTCTTTTGTTTTCTGCCCTTCTAATGTTAATTAAGTAAAATAAACAAACTAACCCCTCTAACCTAAATCAATTAATGGGTCAAGTAAAAAGGTATTAAATGAATTATGGATATGACCCACTAACTATTAACTAGATTAATTCTTCACTGAAATTTTTATCAACTAAATATTCTTAGTTTCGAATAGTTTAAAAATACCCCTTTAAATTTTCAAAAGGAGTCAAACTAGTCCTAGTTCTCAAAACGACCTAGCGGGTCGTTACAGAAAAGGAGTTAGTAAATTTTTTTCTTCATTATTCGATTCAATTGGTAATAATAGTATAAGTCTTCTAGTAAATTTTTGAAGGTACATTGACGTGTGGAAACCGACTAAATTCAGATCACGCCGAAAACTCCTACATTAAGGGGTAAAACACTCCCTAACAAAGGTGACTCCGTACCCAAGGAGAATAGAACCAAAGACATCTTGGCTAAGGATGAATGAGTACTTACCACTCCATCACTGCTTTTATTGGAGATAAATTTTAAATATGTTAGTATGATTATTTATTTTTCTAATAAATTTACTAACTAATTGTTAGTTTGTTATTAATATATCATTCAAGTTCAATGTTAGGTTAGTAATTGATTGACAATAGCTTTTTCAGCCTTGGTTTGAAAGCCCTGACAGTTCAGTTCACGTAGTTCGTAGCCATCATGTTTTATGGACAATTATATTATTTCTAGCCCAAATGATACATTCAAAATATTATTAATTGAATAATTATTCAATAGTAAAATATTTATTAGTTTATTGTATTTAAAAATCTAAGAGTACGAATATAAATTCAAAAATATTAATATCAATTTTATATATCATATTTGAATGAAACAATGCAAAATCTACGATACCAAGTTAATGTAATCTCAATATGACACATCTCACTATATCATAATGTATTTCTAAAGGTATGTAGTGTACAAGTTGACAATGTATCCAACTAACAAGACTAGCTTGAATAATCTTATCTACTTGTTGCTGCATTTTGTGACTCATTTTCCCTCAGATGTCATGCTTTCTCTCTTGGAAATAGGTATACAATACATTTTTTGCCTGAGCATCCTAATCACGATCTTGAAGATGAAGTCTAAAAGATGAAGCGAAAAATGCACCAACATTTCCTTAGAAAGCCTTCAAACAAACAAGATCGTAAGTTTGTGAAAAAAAACTTATTGGAGGATCACTGAATTACTTTGCAGATTAACATGTTGATATGATCTTAGATTTTATAGTATTGGTCTAAGAATTCATCAAGAAATACTAAGATGCGATATATAATATTTAGAATTAGCTAGCCACGGGAGTTCATTACTTTTCTCTAGGAAATTTAATAATAAAATATAGTCCTTTCTATGACACTACAACCCTTATATATAAAGACCGAGCAAAGAGCTAGACATCATATAATAGCTACTTTACAACTTACAAGCATTCTGGTTCTGATAGTCCATGATGATAAATTGCTTTAAACTCTTTGTTGACACCCAATTTTGACCCTCCCCGAAGATAATTATTTCTCGAGCTTCTTGATTTTCAAACGAGTTGAAATAATTGAGGTTATAATATTTCAACTTTTCTTTTAGTCATTTGTTAAAGTTGTGTTAGCCGTTTTATAATCTTTAAAGTGATATACACATACATATATATATATATATATATATATATATATATATATATGCTTAATTTATCTTATAAAATATCCAAAAATTGTATCAAAAGATTTTAATTCCAATTAATGTCTTATTAAACTAGTTTTAGTAGCTTGTGGTTTGGATCCCTAGTTTATAGTTGATTTATTGGTTCGTCTCGTTATAGCTTAATTAATATATTTTATTTTTAGATAATCTTATATGTATTAGTTATTTTATGAATATTCAAAAATCGCTTCAAATGGACGTTAGTTTTACCTAATACTTTATTAAATTGAATTTGTCCAAATTGTTAGTATTAAGATAATATTTTATCTTGTTAAAAAATCAAGAGGCTCGTCGAGCGATTATTTAGTTCGTCTTGCTTAAATTTAAATCAAACTTCCAAGTTTGAGCTTCAATTTGGTCAGCGATTTGATCAAATTTGTAACCCATTAGGCCTAGTCTAATATATAAATCCATCCTTTTAAGTCCATTTTAAAAGGGACCAAAATCTAGGCCTTTTTATCAAGAGTTGGGAATCAAAATAGGAAAATTTAGCTAACTAGTAAAAAAAAATCAACTTATTTAGTGATAATGTCCATACTTTAATAATATTAGTAAAATATCAAAAATGTCATTATTTTAAAATAAATAATTATTATTATATTATTAATATTTTCTCTCTCATTATTTACACCATTTTTCTCTCTCTCATAAATTATATATATTCCTATATTTAAGTAATTAGATATATACTAATTATATTTTAAAATTTCTCTCTCTTATATTAAGATTATTATTAATTTATATCTATATATTTATTACTAATCAATTCCACAACTTCAAGATTTATTTTCACTTTTATTAATAAAATATTTTTACTATCTTTATAACATTTTTTCAAAATTAATTATGCATTGATTTCCGAATTTTCCTTTTATATTTATTAATATTAAACTTATCACATTCCCAGATTTTAGTTGATATTGTAACGTTATCTCTCTTACAGTCTCTTTCCAGATTTTTAATGGGATTGTGTTGTCACGTTATATCTTAACCCACTTTAATAAATAATTCAACAAATTCCAATTCATTATTTTCACTTTTATTAATTAAATATTTTCTCTCTCTCTAAAAACCCTTCTAATTCTTCAGAATATCTTTTTAGTTGGGAATGTCATATTATCTCTCTTACACTCTCTTCCCAGATTTTTAATTGTGTTGTCACGTTATATTTTAACCCACTTTAATAGATAATTCAACAACTTCCAATGCATTATTTTCACTTTTATTAATAAAGTATTTTCTCTCTCTCTAAAAACCCTTCTAATTCTTCAGAATATCTTTTTAGTTGGGAATGTCACATTATCTCTCTTACACTCTCTTTCCAGATTTTTAATTGTGTTGTCATGTCATATCTTAACCATCTTTAATAGATAATTCAACAACTTCCAATGCATTATTTTCAATTTTATTAATAAAATATTTTCTCTCTCTCTCTAAAATCCCTTTTCCAAAACTAATTATTCAGAATATCTTTTTTAATTTTCAACTCTTAATCTTCCATGATTTTTGTTTGAATTGGAGGTTATCTCTCTAACATTCTTCAACAGACAAAACATTTTCAAAATCAATTTATTCATATATCATCAAATCTCCAGGTTTACGCTTCAATTTCTTCAAACCCGAATTTTCCTATTTTACACCATTCTCAAGTAATTCCGTTTGAAGGTTTGATTTGGAGATTCACATTGAGTTGGTTATTGTGTTCTTTATATTACTTTTTGATTACTTACTTATTTTATTTTATTTTTAAATTTTGGATATTTTGTTGTTGTTCTTAAATTATTTTTTAGGGTTTCATAATACCAAATTCACTCTTCAATGGATGCATTCAAAAGAGTTACTAGAGGTATTGTAAAAAAAAATCACAGTTCTTCCGAGTTTCATATTTTATTTTATTTTCACTCAAGAAATAAACAACAATGTAGGTTCATCTTCTAAGTCTAAGGATGGTGGAAAAATGACTGAATCTGTCGAGGTGCAAAATCCCATAGAAATTCATGAAGTTGAAGAAGAACAATTTTTTGGAGAAGAGGTAATTTTTTTTTTGCATGTGTTGTGTATTGCATGTTTAGTTTAATTTGTTTAGTAATTTTTAAGATTGAACAAAATACATTTTACAATGATTTTGAAAGTGTATTTGGAATGTTTAGTCTGTTATAGTCGCTATGTATTGAAATTTTTTTGACTGTCATTTATGTATTGTATTTTGTATTCTGTTCCTCTTTTTTGTATTAGTTGTCAATGTAATACAACTTACAAGTTTGATTGTCTATTTACTATTATCGTATACATTTTTAAGTGTATTCGGAATTTTCATCTTGTTATAGTTATTTTTTTCATAGTTCTAATGTTTTTTGTATTCACAATTATAGTTGGCATGTATTTCTGTATTTAATATGTTTATTGTATTTTTTTGGTCAATGTAACAAATTTTATAAGTTTGATTGTGTATTTACTATTATATTGAGTTCTGTTGATGTTTTAGTCAAGTATGTATTTTTGTAGTTCATAATTTTATTGTATTTTTGGTATACATAGAATGGGAATTGTATATTGTATTCTGTATTACATCTGTATATATCCATAAATTCATTTTGTATTCTGTTTTTTTTTGTGTTAGTTATGTCAATGTACCACATATTTGTAACCATATGTGTTTTTTTTGTATGTTGTTGTAACTGTGTTGATTTTTTATTTATTATAATGTTTTTTTGTTCTGTTATTTTAGTATTATTTCATTTTTTGGAATTCAATATGCCAGGGGACTTCTTATGCTTGCAAAAAGCTACCAAAAAATGCACCCCACATTCACTGTATAGTAAATCATGACATTAAATCCAAGTTGACTGACAAGCTTACACCGAAGCAGTATAATTATTTTTGTGAGAGTACGTGTTTTGGTCAGTATATGAAAATCAGAAAATGTGTTGGGCAAGGTCAAATTCACAGGTGTTGTATGTCACTAGAAGTAGAAGCTAGTAGTAATCAGGCTCTTTAAATCAAAGTAAATGGAGTTATTTTAAAGTTCACAATTAGGACGTTTGTGCTTATTACTAGATTAAACTGTGTTGGTGTTATAGAGGATTTCAAGTGTAACACAGAAGAACCTAACCGGCTTATTGTTCAGTACTTTGGTGGTAATGAGATCATACGTAGATCTGATTTGTTCGATAGGTTCAATGGTAAAGTTTGGGTTGACAATGATGATGATGCGATTAAGTTTGCAATATTATATTTCATTCATATGTTTGTGTACTCTGGCGAGAAGAGATCGTTGCGAATTCCTAGAATTCATTTTGATTTGGTTGAAAGTGGTCGGTATATGCATTATCCTTGGGACAGAAAAACATTTGAGTGGTTTCTATAGAGTATCAACAAGGTTTTGACTACTGATAGTCAATATTATAGATATGTGGTATGCCTGTTGTCCTTCAAATATGGATATACGAGTGCATGGGTAAGCGTCAGACAAATTTTGCACGGAAAATCAATGATCGTATCCCCCGTATTCTAAATTGGAAAACAGTAGGAGCAAAACCCCGATTCAAAACCTTGATGAAAGACACATTCAATGATGATAATAGAGAGGTATTGTATGTAATTCATGATTTTTTACCCTTGTAATTGTATTAATTCGATGTATATATTTTATTATGTTAATTATTCTGTTTACTATCATTTTCAGATTAAATGGAAGAATGGTGTCCCTTCTCTAATGGAAATTACTGTTCTACAATTGCCTCCTGAAGGTGTTGAAAAATCAACTGAAGGTGTTCAAACAGAGCCACATCATGATATTGATGAACAAGTACTTGCTGGACATAATTCAGATGATGATTTTGTCAATCCACCTCCACCTTCAATGAAGGTTACATGTAAAAGAAAAAAGGGGCAATCAGTATCACCTGCTAAAAGGATACGGAAAAAGGAATGAAATATCACAGATCAAATGGAACGGAATGAACAGATCGATCCAGTAGAGAACCGGAATGTGGAAAAAGTTGCAATTAGAAAAGTTGTGCGGAAGAAAAAAAATTGTGTTCTAAGGAGAAAACCACTCGCACTTGTGTGCCAACAAAGGATTCCCAAATACCATCTGTAAGTGTGTCTCATGAACAGTTAATGAGGAATGAACTCTCTGAGTTACGAAAGGAGGTATATATTGTTTATACATATGTTTTTTCAATATATTTATTCAAATTATTGCAATCTGTAAAATTTAATCATATTGTAACTGTTTCAGGTTAGAGAAGAGTTTAAAGACATACGGAAGTTGATAAATGATAATTTTAATATCATTATGTCTACTTTGAAGGTTATACAATATGCTAAATTTTTATGTTTAATTTTTTTTATTTTTTTATTTTTTTGAATTCTATGTTGTAATTTAATATTTACAGGACAAAAAAAAACAATGACAATGCTGGTCAAGGATCACAACCTTTTACAAGTCCAATTTTATCAGAAAATCAAAATCAGGTACACACAACTCATTTTGAAAATAATAGTTTATTTTGTTTGTATTCTATATACTGTAATATATATGTCTAATATTATTTTTTTCCTATATTTGTAAGTACTTTATTTCTTTATCCACAGTGATTAAATGTATGCTGATTGTTTTTATATCAAATATATTTTTAGAACAACATAAACAATCACAATGCTGCTCAAGGACGACAACATTTTACAAGTCCATTTGCATCAGAAAATCAAAATCAGGTAGAGACATCTTATTTTTAAAAATAAAGATTAGTATTTTTGTATTCTGTTTTTCTTACTACGTTTATGTTTAATATTAATTTGTATTTTACATGTCGTTAATATTGTATTTCAATATAAATATTTTTTTATGTATGTTGACTATTTTTGTATCTACATGGATTGAATGGTCTTTTTAATGATGAAAAGTCGGAGTGTGATGAAAGCTCAAATGATGGCAGCGAGGAAGTTTTTCAAGTATGTTCATTATAAATTTTGTATTTTTAGATGGTTTAACGATATTTTTTATTCAATCTCCTTTTTTTAAAGGATCATTCAATTTTTGAAAATACAAATCTGGGAGACATACCCGATATTGTTGGGGGTGCTGATAAACAAGTATGTTGGTTAACTCTACATATTTATATAGTGCAGTTGGGAATATTGTTTATAATTAACATTTTTATATTTTTAAAGGTTGATTGTGACAATTCCCCTGTACGTAATCTGATCAATGTAGATGTTGGTTTTAGTTCGTCTAAATCAATAATCTCAAGTGTATGTTTTTCTACTTATCTAAACTAATTACTTTTGTTCTTATTAATATAATTTGCTTTTTTTGAATAATATTTTTTTTATTAACTACAGATACCTCAACCATCATTTGTATTTGACAAACCCAATAAAATAAGGTCACTTGTTTTTGAAAGTCAACATGACTTTACAGATCAAGATGACAATGATGAAGAGGACCAGTTTCATATTTCCTACCCCTATTCAATCTATTGTTCCCTTGGAAGGGTCACCACATCACAGTTTGAGTTGGATGATTCTCTAATGCCAAGTCTCAGTGACATAAAAAGTATTTGTGCTACTGACAATACCATTAATGCAGAACAGAGCATTATTATGCACATTCCAACCACAAGCAATGACAACTCAAATATTAAAAAACAAGCTAGCAAGGATAGTCAGAACAAAAAAAGTCCTGTTCACACACCATTACCTGCGCATAGGATTAGACGTCCAGGACCTTTCAATACATCCCCATATATGACATCGTTCGGCTCATCTGCAGGTATAAAGACATAACAAATTTTAATGTATTTTAGATCTGATTTATATATGTTTATTCTAATTTTTGTATATGGTATGTTATTTTTTAATTTAACATTTACATCCACTACTTCATCGGTGCAACCAATTATTTTTGAACTGAAACACCCGTTCATCTTTGATCTTATTTCTGGCAATCGTGATATCATTATGTGGGATGCACACCGGTCATGGATTCGCGAAGGTCTTTTTGCAAAACATGAGAACAAGTAAGTATGTAATACACATAATAATATAAAAAAATTGTATGTTGTATTATGTATTCTAAATTTTTCTAGTATATGATATTTATTTTTTTTGTATTCATGATTATTATTTTTTGAGGCTGTTTTGCATAATCAGTTTTTAATCTGATTCATTTTTTTAATGTATTCTAAACATGTTAGTGTATTTTCAATTAATCAACTTATTGAATGCTAATGTATGTTGTTTTATAAATTAATTGAAACAACTTATATATTTTTCGTTAATCCTTTTAAAATTATGTATTGTAATAACAATACAAATGTTTATTTGTTGTTATGCATGTTACTCTAAATTCTGGTGCATATTTTCACAAATACATTAGATACCTATATAATTCTATGTTTCTATGTATACCTTTTATTATTTGTGTACCTTTTATTTTTTTGTGTATTTCTTTAGACGTCATATAACTACTGTGTACATATTGTATACCTTTTATTTTTGTGTATTTCTTTAGACGTCATGATCAGGATCGATACAAGAAGGGGGTAAAGCATGCATTCCTGTCCCATTTGGCTTTGGTGTTGATATTGTAGACAATAAAAATTGGTTCTACAATTTGTACTGAAAAGGACAATTGTTGAATGATTCGGTAAGTAATAACTGTAGTTATTTAGTTATTCTTCGTTGTTTTATTGTTTTCTAATGATTATTTATTTTTTATTGTTCAGCATATCAATGTTATATTTTATTATTTCAGAAAGAAAGCAAAGTATGATGTGGACAGCAGATATGAATACACAACTGTGAATTGTGTGTTTACGTCCAAGATTTCATCAATTTGAAAGAAGTATGAAGATTTAGATAGTGATGTCTGCTGCGCTGATGAAGAGCATTTTATAGGAGATTACATTAGAGGGTATAAAGTTCATGCCGACATTCCGTGGCATTTGGTGGATCACGTATTTATACCTGTAAATATAAAGGAAAAATTTCATTGGGTCTTGGCGGTACTCTCTCTTAATGATAGACGTGTATATGTTTATGATTCTTACAGAGCGGCAGGTCATGATGCAGCAATCAGGAAAGAGGTTACCAAGTTAGCTCAACTCATTCCGCTTAAGTTGACTATGTATGATTATTACAAGAACAGAGGCTTAGATAGATCTGTTAGTCAAGAAGAGAATGAGTTATTTGAGATAGTTTTATAGACAACATACCTCAACAGACCGATGACAACTTGTAAGTTGTATTAATTCTGTTAGTCAATTTTAATTTTATTTTGTATTTAAATTTTAATTTTGTATTCTCATGTGTTATTCAGAGATTGTGGTATCTATATGCTTGCTTTTGCCGAGTGGCTGTCTTATAGTCAAGGAAATCCAAGTGGTACATTTGACGTAATGTTTTCAAGGTCAAGATATGCAACACTTATTTGGAATTATGCTAAGCAAAAGCAAGACAACGGAGCCATTAGTGAATCTGAGGCACCCCCTAGGCATGCAATGCCTCAATCTGTTCGTGTTGTATCTGCTCCAATCGAAATATAGTAGTTGTGCGTTTGTTGATGATACTTCTTTGTGATTTAAAACTAGTTAATTTATGTTTCTTAAACTTTTATGTTGCTTTATTATTTGCATACTTATCATTTTGATTAACTTTTATGTAGCAGATAATTCTGGATACTTATCATTTTGATTATCGTTTGTTTAGCAGTTTATTCTGCATACTTTTCATTTTGAATTTACGTATATATATTATGTTAGTTGATTCCATATGTTGCATTTTTGTATGTTGTATTCATCGTTGTTGTATTACATCATTCATTAAGTCACTTACTTGTAGTTTTATTGTTTATATTAAAATATAATTTATTTTCAAATGTGCTCACATTAGTTGTATTATATAGTGTCAAATATATTTGTTTATGAACATTAAATCACAGTTTCTCAAGTCATATTTTTTAGTCTTATTGGATATACATATACATATTAAAGAACTGGTCATTATATTTTGTATGTTGTATTCATAGTTGTAAAATTATTGTATTACATTATTCATTAAGTCACATTACTTGTAGTTGTATTGTTTTATATTAAAATATAATTTATTTTTAAATGTAGTCACATTAGTTGTATTATATAATGTCAAATATATTTGTTTATGAACATTAAAACACAGTTTCTCAAGTCATATTTTTTAGTCTTATTGCATATACATATACATATTGAAGAACTCAACTTATTAATATACAGTGTGATAGGCACTAATATGGAGTGAGCTAACAAACGACTTTTATGAGTATACAAGTAAATAAGCGCAAACGAACATATTTTGATAAAATATTATTTATTGAACATTATGAAAACATCAATTACAAGGATAAACGATTTGTACGAACACATGTAAATTTATTTTTCAAAACAAATTCAAACATATCTAACTATTCAGTTCATGGTCCATTCCTGCATGATCGCCTATTATGTCCCTTTTGACCACAAGTACTACAAGAATTCTTGTTCTTCTTTCCATATAGTTCACTGTACGTCTTATCACGAAGCTTTTTTGGAGGCCTACCAGGTAGTTTTTTGAATTTTGGAGGCTTAACTATTTCATTCTCTACATATGCAGGCACATTCCAATCTTTTCGATCAGGTTATGGATTTATTGGATTAGCATATGTAACAAGTAATGTATTTGGCTTGTAAAGGTCAGAACAATACGGTTCAGGATCAAGAAATTTCTTCTTCAAAACAGCCTAAGCGTGAACATGGTATTTCATCCACTTGAAATCTCCTACATGTGCAAGTTTTCTTTTCAAGACAAACAATAAATGTTTCCCCTTTATGACGAACACTGTGCACATAATTACTTGTCGCAACTACCTATTACACAAAGTTAAAAGGAAGTTAAATCATACCAGTTATATAATCTTTAATTTTTACTGAATTAAATACAAAATACAACAATTTTAAGGAAGCATAAACATACCGTCATACGCAGTGAAAGTTCTTCATTTTCAGCGAGCATTTCTTGTGCTTTACCACAAAGTGTCGTGAATGTATTAGAAGCAGATGTATGGTTTTTGAAATTCCATCGATCAAACATTTGTCTAATTTCCTCAAGAAAATCATATATAGGTAATTCTCTTGCTTCCACAAGGCATGCATTTACGCATTCAGCTATGTTTGATGTCATCACAGTGTCTCGATCAACTGGTGCATACACTCTTGCCCATTTGTCATAACCAGCCAATTCCAAATAATTCTTCACCCTAATATCAACATGTTCTACTTTTTTCATCAGTTCATTTAATTCAGAAAGTTTGTAAGCCTTTTCCATTGCATAAAACACTTCTGAAAGACTGTCATGTGACTTTTTGTAAAGTGTCTTCATGTTATTCCAAAGATGAAACGTGCAAGCATAATGTGGTATATTGTATATCCTCGAAACTGCTTTTATAATACTCTCATTTCTGTCGGATACAACACACATTTTATCCTTTAAACCATGAGCTTCTCTAAACTGTTCAAAAAACCAAGTACAAGATGCATCATTTTCCGAATCAATAACTTGTATAAAGAATACAAAATAATAAAGTTACAATCGTAATTCAAATAAAAGATTTGAATATTATTATTTGTCTAAACAATTGATGCATCAAATAAGTATTTTGTTGGATATACGATTTCGTATACTAAAGTTAAAAAACGAAATCAAATCAGAATACTATTATATAAAAAAAAACGCAACAAATCACAATCAAATACAAAACATATAACGATTAATTAACTAAAACATACCTGAATTTTGACTTTTCATTTTTGTTTATTTTCCAAAAATCGTTTACCTAGTTTATTTGACAAAACAATAAAATCACAATAATTTTTTTTCCCGGATGAACCTCATGAATAATGGCTAGATATATCATCAAGATTTGAAAAAATTGTAACTGATGTAGAGAGTTTTAAGCATCTGTTACTTTTTATAATTTTTCTCTCCCCTAAATAGCTCTAGTTTGTTATATAAATTAGGTATTCTTTTTAATTAAACAAAATAATTAAAATATAATTAAAATACATAATACTGTAACATTTTGACATTATCACTAAATATTGAAAGTGTTGACACTATACCTTATTAAATACTAAAATAATGACATTTTAAAAAATCTCCCATCAAAATAAGCTACAAAAATATAAAAGTAACCAAAATAAGTCACTATTTTAGTAAGTAACTAAAATAAGCTTAGTGGAAGAAAAAGATTCACTATATCCAATAATCTAAACGTTTTCCGTTAGTGTCATAACGTTTATTTTTAATATATAACGGTACTTTTTCTTACACTTTATAAAGTGGAGTTTTTTCTTCCACTTTATAAAGTGGAACTTTTTATTCCACTTTATAAAGTGGAACTTTTTATTACACTTTATAAGAAGAATATTTTTCACGTCTTGAAGAAGCTTTTTCAATGTTATCATATAAATTATATTGATTTTGATATGTCATTAAAACGGAAAAAATAAAATATTATGTACTTTTATTTTTTTATTCTGAAAAATCTTTCAATCTCTATTTAAGGACGTTTATATATAATTGATAGCACCTACAACATAAAGTCTTCTATATTTGTTCATTTCGATCTAAAAAGATGTCTTCTACACCTAAAGTTAAAGTTTCATTTTATTGGAATGAAGAAATTATACATGACGGAAATACCATTTTTTCCCTCCCAAACACAATGCTAAATATCCAATTAATGTCCGATATCATAAATTTATTTCACCAATTTATAAAAGAATGGGTATAAACAGTACAAATTATAATTTGATTATAGTCGAAAAATACCCTACTTCATTTTTATCACAAGGACAAGTAAATTTTGGAGAGTGGATTATCTATAATGACGAATCGTTGACCGACTTTTTGAGGGTTTCAAATGACTATATAGATCAAATCAAGTTAACTATACTTGAAATCTATGATAAGAAGGAGCCTAAGATTAGTCAATAACGTTCTCCTTTTTCAGTCGATGTCCATCCCTAATTAGAAAATCGTAATAGCATTGATGGATTTCCGATAACTCAATCTACTAATTTTCCTAAAATGACACATTGTCAAAATATTCTTATCGGACGATATGATTTTGATTTAAACGAAACTATCAATGGAAGTGTTTGGTAATGCTCAATTATTATATTTTGATTATTGTTGGTTGAATAATGTCAATTATTTATTAATTTATATTATTTATTATTTTTACTATTATATATTTTGTAGCGGTTTACCTCAGCAAATAGGGATATTGCTCCAAGTTATGGATTAAATAATTATTTTGGTCAGTCCTCACACTTTGAAATGACGAAAAATGTTGGGACATCCTCAAATTTTCATGTCTCGCCTACTTTAATTCAGATGATTATCGCTATGTCTAATACTTTTTTTTTAAAATTTGAGTAAGTTAATTGCATGAGCCAAATATTTATATTTTTTTTTACATATATAGGGAAAATATTACATAAGATGAGCCCATTGATCCTGTGAATATCAATGATCATGACCTTCCTAATTACGGCTCACCTTCAGCTAGTGATAGTGATGATTTGCCTAATGCTGAGGAATCAGGAGATAATGTTCCACTTGAGGCATCATCTAGTGATGATGATTTTTTGACTCCCAATCATCGCCAAGACTAATGTCCATGAGTCCTTTTCGTATCATAAAATTCCTTATCTTGATCATTTCCCGGATAGTCTAGATATCTTTGGTGATACACATGATGAGCATAGATCACAAGTACGTGGCATGAACCAGAAGATTTTATGAATGATGCTATTTATTGAAAAAGACATGTTATTCAATTCAAAGAAGCAGTTGCAAAGAGCAGTTAAACTTCTACATTTGAAGATAGCATGGGAGTGCTTTGTTATTAGATCGAGAAAGAGATCATGGCGACTTGTTTGGAGGCGTGTAGAACAAGGATGTCGATTTAGGTTGATTTCTTTTATTGATAAACATACTAACATGAAGAAAGTTGGAAGATACATTAAAGAACATACATGTGATATGGGTACGTACCTCGAAGGACATTTCAACTTGGATGTTGAGATGATTGCTAAGTCCTCCGTGTTGATATAGAAAAAACGCCAAGTTACTATTTTATCGCTATATGATTTTGTATTTAATAAGGAAATATTCATTTTTTATTTGATAATTAATATTATTATTAATTTTAGATTTTCCATCAAAGACTGTCAAACAACTATTCTTAAGCATATGATATTTTAGTAAATAAAAGAAAAGCCCATCTTGGTTGCAAGCGGGCTTTTGAAAAAGTTTATGGTACTTGAGAGGGTTCTTTTGCGGAGTTGCCGAGGTTCATGGAAGCTTTGAAACACTTCAATCCTGAAACAGTAGTCAATTGTATGTCGATACAAGACACATATTGGTGCAGAACTAGTCAAACAATAACATCCATCATATGGGAAAATTATGGAAGATTTGTTGATATTTTTTTGAAAAAAATAATAAGAAAATTTTTCAACTTAAAGCTAGACAAAAAGATAAATTTTTGTGTACTTTATGACATAGATACTTTTATTTTGTCTTATATTTTACGCTATTCTGCCTCTTATTTTATTTTATTTTATTTTCATATGATTTTGAAGTGGTGTTACTATTAAAACTTTTATAGGATGTGTAAACCTAAAGTTTTCTATCAATGAATTTAGATGTCTTCCTAACCAACACTAAATTAAGTCTAAGGTTGAACGTAAATCAAACCAAAACCACATTCTAAAAAACATAAAATTTTCCTATAAGTACAAGGCTACAATCTTACCTATTTTTGCACATAAAGCAACAAATATGAGTTGAATGTTGTCGAGTTGTGCTACTCCAAAATTTTGATTTGTTTAGTGTGGAGCCTCTTCAAACTGTCGGATTGGGACCATCTTCAAAGTGAATTTTTTTTGGGATCCATGAAAAGGAAAGGGAGAGAAGGTGAAGGTGAAGGTGAAAAGGTGACTTTTAATAAATTGGAATAAAAAGTTCAACTTTATAAAGTGGAAGAAAAAGTTCCATTATATATTAAAATAAACGTTATGATACTAACGGAAAACGTTTAGAAAATTGAATATAATGAATTTTTTTTTCACTAAGCTTATTTTAGTTACTTACTAAAATAGTGACTTATTTTGATTACTTTTCTATTTTTGTGGCTTATTTTGGTTCCCAACTCTTTTCTCAACCCTTTCAGTGATCCAGCAGTAGGCCCAATTTCCCTTAATTCCTTTACCCAAATCAGTGGCCCATCCTCTTTTTTGTTTTCTCCCCTTTAACCCAGCCCAAGCAACTCTTAACCCGACCCAATTTCCTAAAAGAAACCTGAATTCAGAGCACAACAACAAATCGATCGACCCGCCCCGTTCTTCTTCTTCCTCACAGGAAATCCAGTCCACGCGCGATGAGAATTCGAAAATGCCGCTTCAGCAGAGAATGGCAAGCTGGATGCGACCAAAATGTGTGGCTGAGCTCGTCTTCCTCGCTAGTATGCTCGCACAGTCTGGGCCAGCCGAATTTTTGGCAAAAGCAACTGCCAGATTCGTACTTCACATTCAGGTGGATTTGGCATCAAGATCGAATGGTACTATCTGTTTTTCCGTTGCCATTGCTGAAATGTGGAGGATTTCGTACAGTGAGCTGTAATCCCTCAGGAATTGGATTCAAATTGTAAAGAGTTTTTCACCTATTCTTGATCGATTTTGCCCTTTCCCCCAAAAAAACGAAACCCTAATTCTCCCCCTATATAAGGTCATTTCATGTTCTTGTTGAAGGGGATTTTTTTTTGGATTTTGGAAGACGATTTTGGACAGTGAGAATTTTTTAAGTCAAGAATAGATACAGAGTGTTTGTTTCCCTTTTGCACAAAAATTGTACATTTAATAATCTTCTTACTATTTTGATTTGGAAGTAAGAAAATTATTTCATCCAAGGTCTGAAGAAACCTATCCCCTAGAACAAGAACTAGGTTCTTGTAAGTTGATTTTAAGTCAGAACACAAACATTTGTTATATTAAAATCTTCCTCAATCAAGGAAGGAAAAACCTCGTTTTATTAATTCAACTAGATGATTTTATGATGAAAACTCAATAACCAATAACCTCATCACTACAACAACTCTCGATTAACTATAATCGACTACTTCTACTCTCCAAAAATCCAAACCCACCTTTTGTTACAAACCTCACCAAAGCTCAACTCTACAAGAAGCCAAACCCACTTCTTGTACAAAGAAATGTAACTAACAACTCGATAATATATCAAGAAAATAGTTTTATACGTTCAAGACTTTCTAACTCAAGAACTTCTTGAACTTAGCAAACCTATCGATCTTGAAGGCTTTTACTTGATGAAAAACTCTCGCTTTACTCTCGATGTAAAAGTTGTGGCTTCTTCTTCTGTGTTTGATCTCTATTTATAGAGTTTTCTCCTTCCTTCTCGTGCCTTGAATCCTTATCAAATAAGGTAAGGAAATTGTAATTATAGTTAAATAAGGAGTACTAATTTTACCTTTTATTGTACAATCTTTTTTCTATACAACTTCCTTACTTAATATATTAAGGTTTCCTTATTTGTCTCAACTCGTATTTTCAGCATCTTTAGGTCTTGTACATTTAATTGTATAATTCTAGTGACTGCTACAATTAATTCTGGTGGCTGCTTGTTGCGACAAATCTGGCGACGAATCTGGCAAACTCCTTTATCCATATATTTTTATTTATTGTCTATCATCAAAACACTAATTTTATGTTCTTATAGGATTACCAGATTCTATCATATTTCCCCTTTTTGATGAAGACAAACCTGTGTAATGCAACATATAATAATTTCCCCCCTTTTGACAAATAAAAAAGAGTCCAATAACAGCTAAACAAAACCAGATAACATCCACAACAACAATTGAAGCTCAGCTAGTTGAGCAAAAAAAATGATCTGGCAACACAAAGAGAAATATCAACACAGTATTAAGGAATCAAAAGAACAAGGTGCAAACAAGATGCTTTTCAAGTTGAAGATTGACTAGGCTTGGTGGAGGCAGAAGCAAGCATATCAAGTACTCTATCAACCCTTGCATTGTTAGCAAGCTGCTGCTGCACCAACTGATTTTTCAACCCATGAATCTCAGCATTTGAAGTATGAAGTTCAACACGCAAATTCTGGTTTTTCAATTCAAGAGTCGCATATTTTTCTTCTACCACTTTGAGTTCCCTGAGTAATTGAGTAACATGACCAGATGAACGTGGAGAAGCATTAGCAACCTGCTCCGATTCCATGGGAATGCCACAATCAGCAAGAATAGCTTGAGTAAACATATCTGCACGAGTCAAAACCTTTCCTTCTCCCAATGGTACTTCAAATGCATTAAACACTCTAGTTAAAAGATTCTTAAATGCTAATTGATGAGAACCAAGTTGAGGATCAACAATTCTAGCAAAGTTTTTGATGATCAATGTGGGCTAGTCAATACGTTCTTTACATTCAAGAGCATTCATAAGTCCCATGTCCCTTATAGAAGCAATGTGACGTTGGTGACCTCTGGGTAATATTCCCTTACGTACTATCTCAAAGAGAAGCTTATGAACTGATCCCATGATACCTTTTAACACAGTCTGTGCCCTAGAATTGACTCTTCCTTGAGAAACTTAGCTAGAAGACTAGAATGTTCATAAAAAAAACCCAATGATAATCAGTAATACCCACATATGGTATGTGTAAAATTTCTCCAAGCTTAGTTGCATCAAAAACAATCTCAACTCCCTTTACACTAGAAGGTACCACATTCCCTTCCAAGATTGTTAAATTTGTGTAAAAATCTACTTCTTCGTGTTCATAAATCAGATTCGGTTCAAGAAATAACTCCTCCCACCCCTGAAACCTTAGACTACAAGTGAAGAAATTGGGTTCAACTAAGCCGGAATCGGTGAGTGAATACAAGATCAGATCTTTTAACTCACAAACCTGCTTGACTATGTCCATTGATAGAATATCTGGATGAAAAGTTCTACCCCTAAGCACCGTTTTAGTTTGAAAATAGTTTTTCCTTCCAACTTTGAGAAATTTATCCACATTTCTTTTTGCAGATTGACTTTGACTGAGGGGTTTCATAAGTTTTACCCTCAGAGCCATCATCAAATTCAAAATCAAGAACCATTGGAGAAACAGATGAGTGAACATGAGACTTACCCAGACGACGATGCTTCCCATTGGATGTCGCACCATCAGTTGGTTTGACTACATTCGCACTCCGAGTTACTAGTCTGTGCAGACGAACTTGTTTGACTGCAATGTGTTTTCTTGTCCGTCTTGGTTTTTTAGGGTGAAGTGTGCTTAGAAGGATGTCATCAGTGTTTAGGGAATGTGAGGATGGTGGTAGAGGGGAGTTAGGTAGGTTTTGAGGAATGGGTTTCTGAGATGGAGAAGAAGAGGGTTTTTTTAGTGGTAGTGGTAATGGGTGTTTATGAGATTGGTGGTAATAGAGATTCTGTGACTGGTGGTGGTGGTGATTCTGTGACTGGTGGAGGAGGTGATTTTGTGACTGGTGGTGGTGGAGATGTAGGCTAATCTGATTTTGGGGAAGATGGAGAAGATGTAGACGGTTTGTTTGTGGTTGATTTTCTTCCCCCTGAGCAGGTACTGTATCAATGAAAGGGTTCTCTTCCCCCTGAGAAGATGCATTGTCACATGAATTTTCATCATCTGAGTAAGCAACAAGAGGATTAAACATAGTGATTAAAGATGATTTTTCTGAAAAATGGAAGAAGAGGAGTTGGTTGCTTGTTTAGAGGAAGTGCTTTATTGGGAACGGTTTTGGTGTTATCTTCGAGGGGTTTTAGTAATTATGAGGGATTGACATTGAAGGGACGTGTGCTTTGATGGTTTCACTTGCTTTCCAGAGAAGTGGCATATGAGAGAGAAAGATGAGCACAAGCAAAAGTCGATTGTTCTGAAATGATTCTCTTCCTAGTGCTTTGGTGAAAATGTTCGCAACTTGATCCTCAGTTTTGCAGAATGTCATTACTAGGTTACCTTTCTCAACATTATCACGAAGGAATTCAAGAGTTTTAATTTTTGTTATGAGGAATCAATTTTCTTTGACAATCGTAACTCTTATGCCCTACCAGCCCACAGTGCATGCATAAACAGTCTATGTTGGGATTTTTCACTTGAGGACTAGTTTTATCAAAACCTATCCCATGTTTCTCAGAAGTACGATTTTTGTGAATGTTGTCAAGCAGTATGGAGGACCTGGTCCATCTCATTCCGTTCTCAGCTTCAATTTTAGTCACAAGAAGCTCTTTGGTTAGCTATTCTTTCCTTTTTCTTACCAAGTCAAGGTTTTTACTTAGCTCAATATTTTTGGACGATAAATAATGATTTTGTTTTTCAAGCTTCTTGTTTTCTTCTCTTAATGATGCATAGTCTTCCATTATCAATTCTCTTTTTGAGTCTATTGTTTTATATGCGTTGATGAGGGTGTAGAGTAAAGATTCTAGCTCCCTTTTTGAGTATGAGTTTAAATTGTCTTGTATGTGATGAAGACTAAGCTTTTCATTCATATCTTCTTTTTCTTTGTCCTCTTCAAAATCTGATCCAGCCATGAGTGCTAATATAGTTTCTTGTGATCTGTAGGTTTCCTTTTTTTCCTAGGTTTCCACTGCTACTAGAGCAAGAAAGTCATAATCATCTTCTTGTTCTAGTGCAAGAAGAGATTTGTTTTTTGTCTCTTCATCCTTAGATTCTTTATCAGATGAATTCTCCATTGCTGCAAAGGCCCTTTTCATTGAGATATCTGCCTGTTGAGTTGTCATTCTTCAATTTGAAGGAACAAACTTATCTTTCTTAATGTCTTTTTCCTTCTCAGATTTTGTCATTTTCTGCTCTAAAGCCCAAAGTGGACAGAATTTGATGAAGTGATCCAAACTTTTGCACTTATGACAAACCTGGTCTTTAGTATTTTCATTGGATTTTTGAGGAGTTTTCTTTTAAAATGCTTGTCCTCTTTTCAGTATTCTGGTGAACCTTTTGGTTATAAGGGCAATATTTTCATCCTCAAAATCATCTGATGCAGTTGCCTTCAGAACCAAGTTCCTTTCCTTTCTCTTTCCTCAGATTTCTTTTTCTTGGTTTTTCTTAAGTTCATATGTGATGAGATTACCAATCAACTCATCCATGACCAGTGTATCTAGGTTGCGGGCTTCAGAAATAGCCTCGACTTTGCTTTCCTAGGTTTCAGGAAGGACACTCAGGAGTTTCCTTACTGCCTTTTCATTGGGAACTATCTCTCCTAAGGAATACATCTCATTGATGATTGAAGTGAACCTGGTATGCATATCTTGTATAGTCTCTCCTTCTGCCATTCTGAATAGTTCATATTGTCTATTTAAGTTTCAATTTTGGACTTCTTGACTTGCGTTGTTCCTTCATGAGCGGTTTGTAGTGTTTCCCATATGGCTTTGGCATCTTGACAAGACGAGATTCGATTGTATTCGTATGGTCCTATACCACAGATCAGAATTTTCTTGGCTTTGGCATTGTTTTGGATTGCAAGCTTGTCTTCAGCATTCCATTCTTTTCTTTCCTTTGGGATTTTGGTGATTCAATCAGTTGCAGTTTTCATAGGTATAGTTGGTCCATCTAGAATTACTCCCCATCGATCAGGATTTTTGCCGATAAAATGATCCATCATACGATTTTTCCACCATCCATAGTATTTGCCATTGAATAGTGGTGGTCGTGTTTGTGAAGCTCCCTCTTCTGGGGTAGGTGGTGCCGCCATCGAGTCTTTTCAAGGTGTGAATCTTTTTATCGAAAAGACCTGCTCTGATACTAATCGAAGAAACCTATCCCCTAGAACAAGAATCAGGTTCTTGTAAGTTGATTTTAAGTCAGAACACAAACACTTGTTAAATTAAAAACCTTCCTCAATCATGGAAGGAAAAACCTCGTTTTATTAATTCAACTAGATGATTTTATGATTACAACTCAATAATCAATAACCTCACCACTACAACAACTCTCGATTAACTATAATTGACTACTTCTACTCTCCAAAAGGCCAAACCCACCTTTTGTTACAAATCTCACCAAAGCCAACTCTACAAGAAGCCAAACCCACTTCTTGTACAAAGAAACGTAACTAACAACTCAACAATGAATCAAGAAAATAGTTTTATACGTTCAAGACTTTCTAACTCAAGAACTTCTTGAACTTAGAAAACCTATCGATCTTGAAGGTTTTTACTTGATGAATAACTCTCGCTTTACTCTCGATGTAAAAGTCGTGGCTTCTTCTTCTGCGTTTGATTTCTTTTTATAGAGTTTTCTCCTGCCTTCTCGTGCCTTGAATCCTTATCAAATTAGGTAAGGAAATTGTAATTATAGTTAAACAAGGAGTACTGATTTTACCTTTTATTGTACAATCTTTTTTCTATACAACTTCCTTACTTAATATATTAAGGTTTCCTTATTTGTCTCAACTTGTATTTTCAGCATCTTTAGCTCTTGTACATTTAATTGTATAATTCTAGTGACTGCTACAATTAGTTCTGGTGGCTGCTTGTTGCGACAAATTTGGCGACGAATCTGGCAAACTCCTTTATCCATATATTTGCATTTCTTGTCTATCATCAAAACACTAATTTTATGTTCTAATAGAATTACCAGATTCTATCAAGGTCGATACAAATTTCTGGTTCAGTCACCCGAAGTCGAAGGACGATTTTGAGATCGCGTTTGGTGGTGAAAGATTATCCTCCTTGCTCGCCTGGTCCTAAAACGCTACCTCGGAGAAGGTGGGCTCTTCCTTTATATAAGTCATTTGATATGGTTTTGTGTTAGAAAGCATGGAGTCTCTATCGATTCTTATTTTTTTACTTTATTTGTACTTTCGTGTGTATTCTGTTCTCTGTAGTTTAATATTGATAGAACTTTGAAGGTTTCGTTTTGGTTTCGAAAAGAACATTCTCATGATTAAGGTTAAAGTAGGTTGTTCATGAAAAATAGAAATCTGTTTACGTGATAAAATGGAGAAGACCGTGATATCTTTGGACTCGTCGTTTGGCTGCAATTTAGTGATAGAATTTGTTTGATAAACCATTTTTGTTGTTTATTTTCGCTCTCGAGATGGCTGGATACTCATCTTAGCTTACTTTGTTGTTTTGTGTTTCATCGAATTCGCGGCTTGTTATACTCGTCTCAAGTCCCTATTTGTATCGTCAATATTTGTCCTTCTTTATTGGTATTTATGGACATTTTCAATTAAGTATATTGAGTGTATTAAAACTATTACCATATTGCTTTACTTTCATTATTGAAGCTCGCTTTGATTAAGTTTTTCACCCATATCAACACATATACATATATAGTTTAGTTCCAAAGCTTAGAGTTTTCTTCTTGTGTTAGCAAATCTCCTTTCGACATAGGACTCATGTTTCGATTCTTCCGCATCTCTCACTATTTTATAAGTTTTCCGCTATTATATCTTTTCCGTTTTCATTGTTATCATTATTATTTTTTTTCCAGCATGTTTGAAATATATCATAAGCTTCTTTATTTACTCTAACATTTTCAGGATGCTATCTTGTGTTTTTTTTTGTTTTTATCTTAGTTAAGACGCGTGTAATGCTAAATCTATTTTATAAAGTGATAAATGGTTGTTTAAGCTTATTCATATTGAATATCTTGTTGTCCTAAGTTGGTGATATAGGCTTGACCTGGTATTGTCATGGAGGGGTGTTGCTTCTGGTTTTGATTAAAATGGTCATTTGTTGTTGAGCATTGGTTTTCTTTTAATGTCCTTCTCCTCTTTAATTCTTTGAAAGACATTTAAGCTCAATTTTATCGTAATTCATCTAAACCGCCTTCCTTAGAAATTGTGTCTTTGATCGATCAATTCATAATTGGAAAGCATCAATATATTTACTATTGAGTTGTTTTGCAACCGTTTACGTTGTCTTCTTTCCACCACAAGAATACAATCTCCAAACCAACTAATATGGAAGTTGTATGCTACACTATTTACTATTCGTTTGATACAATAGCTTATTTATTTGCAAAAATCATGGAATCATTGTTACTTAGCTTTGGAAAACTTTTATAGTGTTAGATGTGGCTGCAATACAGTTTCATATTTCAAATTTGCTGTGTCCTTTCTGTCTCTTTGCGTTAGCTTGCCTGTGTATAAAGTGGTGTATTTGTTTTAGTTCGTCTTCATTGTTTGGTTATGACAGTGACATAAAATTCTGCTAATTTATATTAGTTTTGTTGCTTCTTTTTTCTTTATGTTTGAACATGTTTGATATTCTCCTGTCATCTCATTTGCATTATTTGGTTCACAATGTGTTTTAAGCTTCAAGCACGTCATTATTCTCTAATTTGCAAAGTTACTGCCCAAATTGATCCTGTATGCTCATGTATTTTGAAACTTGTCCCCATTAATACTACTTGTAATGTGAATCACTGTAAATTTTTTGCGTGATAAAGCAGTTTGCTTAAATGTCAAGATGTATGCTTGTCCTACTTTGGATCGTAGCCGTGATTTTCTTTTATTTATTTTTTAAGTGATATTGTCTTCAGCTATAGAATATTATCCAGCCCCTCTAGCTTTGGTCGATTTTTTTTTATAACAAATTTTATCCAAGCTATCATTGTTTTTTTTTTTTTTTTTCAATTTACAGCAATTGTTTCCCGACTAGCCTATCAATGTTAGAGCTTTTTTTTGGTTTGAACATCGTTGTCTTGAGAAGCTTAATCCATGTTCACTGTAGGCATTGTTATTTAATTTTCAATTGAGTTTGTTAATCTGCCTATAGATATTAATTTATTTCCTCTTCTTTCGATGCATATGATCAATCCAGTCTATTTTGGACAATTTCTTGCACTACCAAGGGGCCATAAAAGGTCCTATACTCCCTTCTTCTTTTGAGTCTGCCTACCAAGCAAGAAAACAAGTTCCGAAAGGTGTGCAGGTCCCGAAGTGAGGAAGAGAATGGGCCATAAATGCCCGAGTTTATTTTCTTAAATGTTGTATATAGTTGCTTTAGGGGCCTAAGCCCCCTTTCTGTGTTTTATCCTATATTTATTTTGTATTAATTATTTGATTAGTCTACGACATGTACAAATCAAGTGGGCCAGAAGCCCAAAACAAATGGGTAAAAATATCAATTCAGGCGGATAGATAATCCGGATTTGGACCCAACACACATTCTCTCTCTCCCTTATTTTTGTTTATTATCTGCTTTTACTTGTCGTTAGTTTAATGTTAAAGAATCCATATTCCCGCAAACGCCGTAAATGTTTTATTGACTTAAAAGTTAATTCCAAATAAATTCTAAAAGATGAATAAACTTTGCAAATAATAAACTCACTTAAGTAATTAATACCTCTTTTTCAAACGAACTCTAAGTAATTTTTATAAGTTAGATCATTTTTTTAGCCAAATATATTAGTTCTTGGATAATTGTGAGTTAGCAAATATTTTAGGTGTTGTAAAACTCTTCCTAAAATATAAATAAGGATCCCCGAAACGCCCCTTAATATTTTCAATCGATTTATCTGTTTAAGTCTTTTGTAAGCTAAAGTTTTCTTAATTTTTTTAAAATTAAGAGGCGACTCTAAAAAAGTCGAAAAACTTTTACGAAACAATATTTTTCCGAAAACTTTAATAAAAACACTCTTAAGCTGTCCTTTTGATATAACAATTTGTATTCAAAATAATGATTAAGTTTCAAACTTTTGTAATATTCACTACCATCGAATTGTAGGAATACAAGTATACTTACTCGAGTTTTCCTTGTTGTCGTTCTAAGAAGATCAAAATCATGATAGTTCTATAAAGTTTCAGCTGTGAATCTCTAACTCCGCTGATGAAATGTTAATTGGAGCACATTTATAAAAAATATTGACAAAATCTAAATTTTGATCAAAACTCAAAAGTTTAAAACGCCTAACAACACAAACTGAAAATGAAAGCCTCAAAACATAAACAAATTATCTTATTAGTTAACAAATAATATTCTGAAGCTAACATGTTGTCAAAATTCTTATCTGAGCAAGTTTGCAAAAAATTTAAGCAATTCCAAATTTTGGCCAAAAGTTAAAAGTTAAAACGCCTAACAACACAAATTGAAAATGAAAACCTTGAAACCTGAACAAACTATTCAATTAGACCAAAAATGACCTTTTAGAGCTAAGCGCGCTAATGAAATTTCAATTTAAGCATGTTTCCTTGAAATATCGATTAAATTCAAATTTAATCAAAATTTAAAAGTTAAAACGCCTAACAGTGCAAACTGAAAATAATAGCCTGAAATTCAGAATGAATCATCCTACTAGACCAAAAATAACATTCCAAAGCTAACCACGCTGATAAAATTTTAGTCTGAGCACGTTAATCAAAACTATTGACCAAATCCATATTTTGATCAAAAGTTAAAAGTTAAAACGCCTTATAGCATAAACTGAAAATGGAAGCCTCAAAAGCTGAACCAACCATCCAATAAAATTAAAAAAATGACCTTTCTAAACTAACCACGCTGATGGAATTTTCATCTGAGCATGTTTATAAAAAATATTAAGCAAAGTCAAATTTTAGCTAAAAGTTAAAAGTTAAAACACCTAGCGACATAAACTTAAAATGAAAACCTAAAATCCAACCAACCACCTATTAGAGAAAAAAGAGCTTCTAGAGCAAATCGCGCTGGCGAAATTCTAATCTAAGCACGTTTTTCAAAAATATTAACCAAATTCAAATTTTGGTCAAAATTTAAAAGTCAAAATGTCTAACGACACAAAGTGATACTCCCTCCGTTTCACAAAGAATAATCTGGTTTGACTTGGGAGGGAGTTTAAGAGTATAAAGAAGGTTTTTGAATCTTGTGGTCCTAAATTAAAGTTAGGTTAAATGTACAAAATTGCTCTTTGATCATGTGGTCTTAAACATGTCACGAGGATAGCTGAAATTAATGTTACCAGAAAAAGAAAGAGGTCTTTCTTTTTGAAACAGACTAAAAAGGAAATGAGACATTTCTTTTTGAAATGGAGGAAGTAATAAAGCCTCAAAACTCGAACCAATCATATTCCTACTAGACCAAAGATGACTTTACCGAGTTAACTCGCTAACATAATTCCAATCGAGCACGATTATCAAAACATTGAGTAAAATCAAATTTTGATCAAAATATAAGATTTAAAATGCCTAACGAAACAAATTGAAATGAATGTCCCAAAACCCAAACCATTTCAAATAAAAATTATCTTTGAAGCAAATTGTTGACAGAATTCTCATCTAAGCATGTTTGCAGAATATGTTAAGCTATTTAAAATTTTGACCAAAACTTAAAAGCTAAAATGCCTAATGGCACAAACTGAAAATGAAAACACCAAAATCCAAACAAACAATCCTATTAGATAAAAAATGATCATCTAGAGCTAACAACCAACCCCATTGACGAAATTTTAAAAATATTGACCAAATTTAAATTTTTGCTAAAAGTTAAAATTTAAAACGTCTAAAAGTACGAACTGACGAAATTCTCATTTGAGCATGTTCACAAAAATATTGACCAAAGTCAAACTTTGGTCAAAACATAAGATATAAAACACCTAACGACACACACAAAATGGAAGCCCCAAAACTTGAACCAACCTTCATGTTAGATAAAAAATGATCTTACAAAGCTAATGACATTGACAGAGTTTTAATTTGATCACGTTTACCAAAAATATTGATCAAAGTCGAGTTTTGGCTAAAATTTAAAAGCTAAAACACCTAACGACACAAACTGAATATGAAAGATCAACACTAGACGCTGATTTATCAAAAAAATTAAACTTCAATTGGTAAATTTATCAACTATTCAATTATACGTTAATAATTAATAATTTACCAAATTTTTTTTATCATAGTTGGTAATTATTATTACGCAACTAAATATTCGTATGTAATATTAGCAACTAATAATTAATACATTCTTAAATTTTATCAATGAATTAATGATCGATTGACATATTACTAACTATTTTAATGATGTTAATAATTTGTTAACTACAATATACGTACGTACGTACATAATTACATGAGATCACTCATAATAGAGCGATAAAAAAATAAATCACCGTACATGTTCGGGACGATTCCATCCTAAAAGGATTTTGAAGAATAGAATTCTTTACTCAATACTTAAAAATGTTACATAGACAAAGAAGAGAAAATAGTAAATTTGTAATCTATCGGTAATGAGTATATTCTACCTAATTCTATCACGGTGATTCAAGCTTGATTCAATAAAGTCCTTATCTATTATTGTATGGTGCACATGTTAAGATGAATACTCGTAATTGAAATAGTTATCGATAATTGTTCACTTTCCTCTTATGGAATTAGACTTAACACTTATGATGTGTTGTTGAATAGTGTAAGATTTGACGCATTATCACTTAAATATATTCCGTCAGAAATTTTATTGAGTTCTTTGTACAATCCTTTTGAAACTACTTGTGATCTCATAACAATATACATCTAGAAACGTCATCGTAAAATAATTTAAGCTTAATCGCCAAAATTTAAGGTGAAATACTCTAAATTTTTTAATGAACTATTCTTACTCTTAAAGATATGAATTTATATATATTTAATTTGGTTTACTAATTAAGAAGCCTATAAAATATATGTTCTACTAAATAAAACTCTTCTTTAAATTTGTGTCGCATGCAGGGCTAGTGGATGAAGTGCGACAGATTTTCATTCCAGATGCAGATTACACCAAAGGAATCCGACGATCCATCGGTGTCCCTGAAATGGACAGATATTTAAGGGAAGAAATAAATATAGACGGAGATGATGAATCAAAGAAGATGATTCTTCAAGGTTCAATTTCAAGTATCAAGCGTAATACTCGTATATTAATTTGTAACCAGCTTGACAAGATTCAACGATTAATAAGCGAGAAAATGTGGTCAGTGCATCATATAATTGTTACGGACGTTTTCAAAGAAGATAAAGAAGAAGATACTGACGAAGCATGGACGAATACTGTTTTGCAACCATACCTTGATATTGTGAAGAGATTTCTCAAAAGCGATCATCACAATATTATTATTGAGTGTACATAAACTTTCATTATCGCCATCTTCTGTTTTGGTCTCTTTTATTTTGGACCTATTTTTTACGGTTTGTATCGCATTACAAATATATATGTTTGATATGACCATTATTTCTATATATGTTACTCTTGTCATTAATAAAATTCTTATGTATAGAAGAAATATTTATTTTAAGTTTCGATCCAAGCCCAAGCCCAAGGTCCAAGTCCAAGTCATCTATATTTAATATATATTAATACAAATACGTACGTACATAGTTACATGAGATCACTCATAATGTCAAGCTAATAGAGCAATAAAATACTAAAACACCATACATGTTCGGGAAGATTCCATCCTAAAAGGATTTTGAAGAATTGAATTCTTTACTCAATACATAAAAATGTTACATAGACCAAGAAGATAAAATAGTAAATTTGTAATCTATCGGTAATGAATTTATTCTACCTAATTCTATCACGGTGATTGAAGCTTGATTCAATAAAGTCCTCATCTATTATTGTATGGTGCACATGTTAAGATGAATACTCGTAATTGAAATAGTTATCGATAATTGTTCACTTCCCTCTTATGGAATTAGACTTAACACTTATGATGTGTTGTTGAATAGTGTAATATTTGACGCATTATCACTTAAATATATTCCGTCGGAAATTTTATTGAGCTCTTTGTACAATCCTTTTGTAACTACTTGTGATCTCATAACAATATACATGTAGAAACGTCATCCTAAAATAATTTAAGCTTAATCGCCAAAATTTAAGGTGAAATACTCTAAATTTTTTAATGAACTATTCTTATTCTTAAAGATATGAATTTATATATATTTAATTTGGTTTACTAATTAAAAAGTCTATAAAAAATAACATTTTTACTATAAAAGTCCAGCTCTATGTGATCTCCTAACAACATACACTAATAAATTTATCCTAAAATATATTTAATAATAATTACCAAAATTCAAGTTGACATATCTATAAACTTTTAAAAGTCATTCTTATCCTAAAATATATCAGTAATTATGAAATTGGTATGTCAATTAATAAGTCCACAAAATTTTTTTACTATAAAAGCTGAATGTAATTTTTTTTCACATC